ATATTGTAACACAATTGAAATCCATTTTAGCAATTTTTAATATTACGACCAAGATAATTTGTGCAACTACAGATAGCGGATCTAATATTGTTTTAGCAATCTGCTTACTAAATATGCATTTATCTATACAAAACTACTGTTTTTATTCACATCGCTGTCTTGCACATGTGTTATATCTTGTTGTTATAGCAGGTATGGCACTAATTAAAATATCAATTGAAAAAGTACGTAGATTTGTAAAAGCTATTACATCATCATCCACAATCGCTCAAGATTTTAAAAAAATTGAACAGTCAGTTGGCGAAGGTGAGGTAGTTTGCAAAATTCCCCAGAACATATCAACTAGATAAAATAGTACCTACCTTATGTTATCAGTTTATACGTCTATACCTACGACGATAGCAGTAGTTATGAGGTGTCATAGTAATCTTGCCTATTATAGGCTTAGTCAAGAAGAAGATTCTGATCTTCAAGCTGTAACCCAGTTTTTACAACCATTTTATGAAATTACAAATATACTTTCTGGTAGTACATATATAACATTGGGCCTTTCCGCTTTATTAATGGATGATATAATTGATGTTATTTCATCATATATTCAAGATTCATCAAGTTTCCAATTTCTTAAAACTGCTGCAATACAAATGATAGAAAAACTTAATCAATATATAGATTATATCTATGACAAAGCAGCTTTTATAGCTTCAATTCTTGACTCCCGAATAAAACTTGAATTAATACCAGTTAATATGAACACACCAGAAAATCAGAATTATTTTAGTCAGATTTTTCAGGAGTATTCAGAGTCTGGATTAAATAATTCGTCTACTAATACGATTTCAAATTCTGGAAAAGTATTAAATTCGATGACATATGTTAAAAAAGTTGCGCAAAAATGATGTCGGCTTAATGTCTTAAACAGTCCAACAGATGAACTTACCAAGTATTTGAATGAGGCTACTTTACCAATAAATATTAATCCTTTGGAATGGTGGAAACTTAACAGTTTTCATTTTCCGGTTATGTCACAAATGGTCAAAGATTTTTTTGCAATCCAGGCGACATCAGTGCCTTCTGAACAAATATTCTCGAAGGCAGGTGACACTATCTGGGCTAAATATGCGCGTTTTTCTGAAAAAAGCGTACAATCATTGATGTATACTAGCTCATGGTTGGAACACGGCATTAAATTTCATAAGGATTGATTTTATTTTTTAAATATGCTTTATTTTTTTAAAAAAAAATAATTTTTTTTAAAATGAATATTTTTTTAGTTTTTTTTTTTCTTTTAAAAAACGGTTTTTTTTAAAAGTTTTTTTTTTTTTACTTTCAAAAAATAATTTTTTTAAAAAAAATTTTTAACTATGCATTGTATTACGTTCTACATGCTTGCAAATTATGAATTATAAAGAAATTT